GTACCAATATTCAAGTTTAACCACCAGAACAGAGAAAGTGTAACAACTAATCTATTATTATCATTATATCACAAACTATAATTCTTACTAGTTACCTTGGTTTTCTTTCGATTCAGTGCTGCTCTTTGCGCTAGCTGTTCGAGAAGTCACGTACCATTGCCGCAGAGTAATATTGATGAGCCTTTTGTAAGAGCTTTATTGAAAACGCCCACCTTATATCGCTGTCTTTTTACAGGAGAGCATAAGTATCATTTGATCTGCTAGCACAGAGAAGACAATTAGAAGAATGTATTTTAGTATTGAAAATATACTGATCCATCCGACAGCTATATTTAAAATGTTATAGTTGAACCCCGCTATTTCGAGATCTCCGGGGAAATTGCGAAATTATTTCCGGTATTTCGAAATTAACTGGTTAGGGTCAGCTAGGTGCAGCGAAGCGCACTGACCATGCATTAGAAACAACAACATTTGAACATTTGAAATGAAGAATAGTTCGAAAAATCGTGAATTCAAAATAGCGCTAATTCGAAATAACCGAGTTACTGGGTACAACTTACTTAAAATAAAGAGAAATTAAGAAGGCGTTTGCTAACACGCTACGTTTTATTCCTATATTTCCAAAATTTAGATGTTTTCTCATTGGTAGCGTGGCTTTTATTCAGAGGGCTAATAACAATTTGAATCAGAAATCACGTGCTCTACAAAAACTGTAGGAAATTGTGGCCTGCTTCTTCTTACCACTGGCCACTGAAAATAAAGGTTTTTATTTTTGCCAGATCGCACTGATGGAAAGAAAAAAAAAAAGAAAAAAGAAAACTGCAAACATGATGGAGCTCATTTTGCATGCACGTGGTATAATCACTTTGTCCCACGCACTTTATTTCCATATATTGCTCTGAAATGCAGATAACAGATCGTTGTTTTTTTTTAATGACGCTTGTAAAGTGGCTGTGCACAAATTAATTAATTTCTATCGGCCTTCCCGAAAGCACGTGCAAAAACTCTGGTCACGTGAAGTTTGAGAATCATTAGCTGTTTTTAAACAAGGTTTTATTTATAGCCGCTCTCTGTTTCGTCTCCCACGTAGCGCGTGACGAGGGCGGGGGCTAGCGATAAGGGGATGGTAAGGCATGTAAAGAGGCGTGTATTACAACATCGATCTATATGGCATTGAGATAAAATATTCTTTATCAGCAAATTAGTTTGAATTTTTTACTTTGAAATCTTTGGCTTCCATGGCACCGTTATCCCTTTTAATTAAAAATGATCAGCAAAATAATTCATATACAGCGTAATAAGTGGTAGTTTTTTTTCGTGAACTTCTACATGAAACTTTTAAATAAAGGCTCGTATAGATGACAGTACCAGTAGCCGGGTCGAGGTCCCGTTTGATTGGGTTTGCCTTCCTGTACATTCAGCTGTTTATAACATCGAATTCAAAATAAAAATAAGTGCATATGGCATATCCAAAGAGCTTAACATTATGTGAGTTTAGGAGTGTAGGCGGACGTTTCGTGATAGCGTAACTGACGTATGTTAATGATAGAAATTAATGAAGTAAGGTATGTCGAAACAGTTTTGCAGTATTTTTTCAACAAGAAGAAAAAAAATTTCAAGTAATGTTCTCAAATTTGTCAGGACAACTAATTCGCTAACGCTATTCCATTCAACGTTCGTAAAAAAATAAGACAAATATAAACGCCCGTGCGCGTCTAATGCTTACACAAGCTATTTATTTTTATAGCTTTTTATTACTTGCCCACACAATTTTTTTGTCAAATATCCAAGAACGTTCAATTTAGTTGTCTTTCATCTCGGCCGCGTGAAAATTTACGACCAAGCGGAAAAATGAAAGCTATAAAAACCAAGGTGGATTTTATATGTGATGTCGTTAAAATACTACAATGTCCAAGGACTTTAGTACGTTGTAACTTCTTAGCGGTTTAATTTCATACACAGAAAATGCATTTTAAACTAAAAAAATTCCCGAATGTATATTCTTTTGAGCTGTGCTAAAGTTTAATACCATGATAAAGGCCTCTAAGAAGATGCCTTCGTTTACAAAGTACATGTTTCGCGACTGGCGAGAGAAAGAGGAAAGCGAAAAAGAAAACTCTCTTTACGTCCAGTTTCCGTGCCTAGTGGCTTTGTCTCTCACTCTAGTATTATAAATTATGATCTCTTGACTTAGAGATCTCAACAAGCCTGCAATAAATATTTTCATTAATAGGCTACTGTAGTTATTGTTACCTCGCTTTTCTTTCATTGCGTCGCTTTGCACAGGCGATCAAGAAGTTCTTCTGCGTCGCTTACTCTCACAGGGCATGGACTGACGAGACTGATATTGAAGACTTTATCTTAAACGCCCACCTTGTCGGCATCGGTTTCCTTTGCACGAGAGCACAAGTTTGGTTTCTACTGGCAGGTATTTTAAAAGCTGTTTGTACAAGAAAAGCTTAAAAAATTATCGATGATAAACTTGGCAGGTTCTTTAGAATACGTGCTACCAGTAATTATATTTTATTAGACATTTAGAGTGGGGTATCACTGTATATTTTCACGTGTCTTGTTTGAGATATTTTGGCTAGCCCGTGGGCCGATTCAACACATAATTGGCGAGAATAAAGTTTTATATACAATGATCCTGCAAACACATCGAAACACACTAAGGCAGCGTCCACACGATGCACTAGAGAAATTTAAAAATTGCAGCTTTGCAAAAATTGCGCTAATCCGTCACGAAAACGGAGCTTTTCAAAAATGCTCTTCAAACCGGAGGAATTTGAAAACGCCGGCTTTGCGTTTCAGAGTGGATGGAGAACATTTTGAAAACGGAGCTTTTCGACAAGGCGTAGTCACGATAATCACGTGATGTCCCTGCCCAAGTTTCTCTCAAACACAAATTTAAAATGACCGGTGATTATTGCGTTTTTAAATTCCCCCGACGTAGTGTCCACGGAAAATATTAGATGCGTTTTCAAAGTGAAACGTCCGTTTTCAAATTCCTCCAGTGAAGTGTAGAAGGGGCCTAACATGGCTGATTAATAAAAGAATTTAAAATATTCAATGGTTTCTTTCCCTGATTAATGACGTTTCTGGCGCTCTTAGGCTAAAGAAAACCTTTTAAACCGGTCTCCCCTCGTACAGATATTGTGCACTCGATTCCCGCGATATTCCCTGTTGAGTGGAGTTGAATAATATTTCATATCAGATAATTCACAGAAGCAGCTAATTCCTTATTTCCCTCTGTACTATTTTTAAGTCATCGTTGACCGCTTTTCTTCTACAAATGCTGAAATCATGCGGTAATATTAGCCACTCACAAGAGGTGTGCAACAGACAGTCAGACTCTTAACCAATCAGAGCCAAGGCTTTTTCTGTTTAGCCAATCAGAAGTTGTCGTAGTTTGGTTTACTCAATTTTTTCCCGCGCTCGTCACCAGTTGTACCGCATGTGTTTTCTTTTAGTCCTTTGGGAGGTGGGGGGTGGTAAGGGGTAAGGGGGGCGGGGTGTTGGAGAGGTGGTAGGCATTCAGATTGTGGCTGTAAAAATAAATACACTGGTGAAATTTCAGCTGGTGAAATTCCTGGGTCCCGATTGTGTTCGGAGGGCGCAGGATCACCTTGGAATTGATAGACGCATAGACCACAGATGTCAGTCAATTTGAAGGAGGTTTATTTACTGTAATATTTATTTTATACAAAGTTAGTATTATGGGCTGTCACTAGAAGACGATGATGATGATGACGACATGAACTCGACTTCATCCACGCCTTGTTCCTGTCTGCCATTGGTCACTTCCTTCGTCAGATTGTTAGCTATGATGTCCAAGCTAGAAGAGGTGTCATGCTGTCAAAATATCAAATTTGTTATTAACATTTTCGTATACAAAGCTAGTGAAGAAATCAGGTATTAATGTCCTGCTTTACGCAAGATTAGACCATTTCCGAGTTATCTTGTCCCTCTGTTTCAAAACGAGTCCTCATGCAAAATCTTTCGTATGAAAATGAGTTTGATTTGCATGAAAATGAACCTGTAGGCGGAACACATTTTCATGTGAATGGTTTCACACGAAGACTCGTTTTGACACTGAGGCAAAAGGCGATTCGGAAATGGCCATGTATTTCGTCAAGTGGCATCATAGGTCTGCAATGCGCGCACAGAACTAGATGCTGCAGTTACTAGAAATATCTCTCATTATTTCCCACCTGCAGAGATGAAGACTGTCCCGTGGATAGGTGGCTCTGCCAGGAAAATGAAGATGCTTGACCATTGGTAAGACCTGGTCAAAATGGAAATGCACAACAAATTTGTTTACATTCTTAGGACCAGTTGTAACTGTCTACATTACAGAGCTGTCCACCTTACTTAAGTGTCTATATGGCCAACAGGGTTTTCAGGGGTTTTGGTATCTCTATGACATGTAAAAATGTATTCTGACAACAGCAGATTTACCAGTATGGGTACTCTTAAAATAAGGCTTACTTTTTGGTTGTCAATTTTTGGATTAAGGTCGTTACCATGGCAACATCTCATCTAATGAGAGGCAGATATATTCCTTATTTCGGCCTAAACTCCTTAACATTTATGCTTTCCTTCGGTGAAATTTTTTCATACTTTGCCAGATCATGGAAATGATATTGCCTGACATTTTGAATTGGTAAAAAGTGAAGGTTGTTCAGACGGTTTTTCCAATATTCTGTAATTGTCATTCTTCTAAATATACAAGATTAGCTCTGACAGATTTTAACAAAAATAGGGTATTTTATAGGAAGTGTATGTGGTTACAACTGAGCCAAATTTTAAAAATA